TGATACTTTTAACTTTAATGGTAATTCATGGTGGTTATTTCTGCTAGATATTTTGCTTTCAACACCATCAAAGTAATAAGAGAAACTGTTGTCTTGTTAATATTAACAAAGATTATTTCTATACTTTATAGAAATGCGTTGAAGACAATTTTTAGTAATGTTTATCATATATCATTATGTAGGTAGATTGAATGTTCAGTTTGATTCAGTATTAGGCTGCTCTTGTTAAATATGTAGTTGCACTAAATATAAAATTAAATAGTTTCTATTTTGACCATTCTTATACTAAGTTAACAAAATAAAAACCTAACAAATTAAATGCTAAACCATTTTATTTTTTATCATTCTTCCAATATTATTTATTCATTGAAATAGGTTAACTTTTATTGCTTATATAGATGACAAAAGCAAATTACTAAGAAAATTCCTAGTAAAAAATGTTTTATTTTATTATTATTGTTTTGAAATGTTTTTGATAACAATTAAAAATGTGTATTTTTTTATTTAAAAAAAGCTAAATTAAAAGCTAAAAAAACTATAAAAAATTTCTCTATATTCTTCTGAAATATAATTCTAATATAAATTTCATTTATCCCTTTCTATCTAGTTTTGATAATAAAGCATTTTATCACACTGTTCATATCTTTATTATATTAAGATTTGAAAGCTTATAAGAACTTTAAGAAATATTTCTCGAGAATTCTTACACAATCTAATATTTAATTAAAACAAGCTATTTATAGCTGGATATATAGTGAGATATTTATCTAAAATCATGATCCATTGCATCATTACCATAAAACTAATTCCCTCTTTGATTTTGTGTTGTATATTCATGAGAAAAAGGTGATTAATACATATATATATATATTGTAAAACTATTTCCTATTTAGCTTGTTTTGTGAACAAACAATATCTGTGAATAGCTAGACTTATTAACAGTTATAAGAAGTAAACCAGACTGTTTCTAATATGGAAAAAAGTAAATAGTAATGGATAACAATTCAGAAAAGAAGTGATTTAACTATCTTTTTTTCTCATTAATTTACTGCCTGCTAGTTTCAAAATTTTCTAAATATTTTTGTGTAATAAAATTCAATTTTATTTGAATTACTGTTTGAATGACTTAACTCAACAGTGAGAAACTTTGTTTCTTTATTTTACTAATATCTTTATTTTGTAATTAATCTAAATTAACTATTTACAGGGGCTGTAAACCTCCTATGTTTTCCTATTGTTTTGCCAGAATTACCATTTGAAATCTAACAAAAGTCATAAAATATTCCACAAAATATTTTATTTTGTATGGTTCATAAATCGCAAATAATATAGCAATTATCAATTTGATTATGTCTTGTTCTTATCTTATTAATATTTTTGCATTGTTATGTGGGTATTTTGTTAAATTAAAATTAATTTCATGGGGGATTAGTAAAGTTTCTTGATAGAAGCTTTTTTCTTTTCTTTTTTTTAAACTATTTTCTGAAAAATGTGGCTGTTCCTAATTTAAATTTTAAAATTAATAGTTGCAGAGGAAAGTTGATTTCTGTTTTGTATATGTTTCTACATCTTAAAAGATTTTTTTTTTTTTTTCAATTTTAGCCGTTGTTTTCAATATTTTATCCCTAAAAATTCTGCTAAAATATAAGCCTTTTTAGTTTTTAGTAATGCTTTTCTTATGATTACAACTTTTGATTAAGCGCTATATAACATGAAACTAGACTAATATTGACATCTTTTTAAAAATAAAAATTTACAAACCGTAATTTTATGATTATTAATGATTACATAAAAAAATACATAAAAAAATAATCAAATATTATAATTTTTTGTTCGCAATTCCACCCTTAATGTAGCTATGTAGTTAACAGTTTTATCTAAATTATATTTGCAGGTCAGACAGCTCCTTTAACTTTATGGTATTTTTCTTCATTTTCTTCTTTCAATTCATTCTGTCTCTTGTCTATGCCATTGGAATTGAAGATTTCGGGTCATGGTGAGTTTTAATTTCAACAATTTTTTGCTTTCTTATTAAAAAAAAAACTAAAGTTGTCTTAAAATTCTGAATTCTAAGAAAACGGTTCTTTTTTAGTGGATTCATTATAGGATTGAAGGCTATTGGTACAAGTCCTGTAGCTGGTACCCTAGCTTTACTATTGGCTATTATGCATTCGATATTTGCAGGAGCATCATTTTTTCTTCTATTAAAGGTATGTAACATACCTTATTTTTTTATACATAATTATATTACAGCAATTTTCTTTTACATATTTTTTATTTATTTAATTTATTTTACTTGATTTATAAAACATTTGAATAGTTACTGAATAAAATGTGGTTTATCATGTATGGTATTTTATTATATTAAAGTTTGTTGTAAAAAAATATTGCTAGTTTAATTGTTAAAATTATTTATATCTTCAATCATATCTATGTAATACATGTAGGATTACATAATTTGCCAAAGGAATTAAGATTATCAAAATATAAATGCACTTGAGTATCGTTTCTTAAACTATTAGAAAAATTACTCTTTTAAACTAATTTCAATAAATTTTGAAAAAAATAAAGAAGCACTTAGATTAATGGAAATCAATAATTAATAGAGACTAACCAAAAATTAATGGCAAAGAACTACATACGGAATTTTAATACTTTTTCAGGTTAACTTTGAGAAAACAAAGACTGAAATTAAAACAGTTCCAAATTGTAAAAATATATCAAGAGATTTCAATATTTTGACATTTACACTCACCAAAAAAAAAATTTTTTAAATTGTAGAAATAATTTTTTTGTTAGCATAGTTCTGAAGAAGTACTATTTTAAAATCTTCATTTGCTTTTACGTAAGGTAACAACTGTCTTTAAAGTTTTATAATATTTATCTCAAATTTTATTTTAGTGATTTGATTTTCTTAGAATCTTAAAAATTTATAGGTAGTTTTCCTCAAGTATTGAGCAGATTTTTTTTAATACATACACAATGATTTATGGCTTAAATTTTATTTAGATTCATCGAATCTATCGGGGCACTGAACACAGCTTTGCTAAAGCTCAAGAAGAATTTACTACTGGAGTTCTCAGAAACCCTCATGTGCAGAATGCTGCTGCTGGGGCTGTGGCTGGAGCTGCTCGGCAAGCTATGAATCAACCTTTTAGTGGTAATCGATACTAGCAAAGTATGATTGTTGTTCTGTTTTGTGTACTGTTGTAGGCCAGCAGATGTTCCGAGCATTGTGGTCACAGCGTTTTAGTTGCTGCCTTTCCACATTTTTCTCTAATTCTTTTAATTTGCTCTGTTTTTGTCTTTGACTTTTGCTATTTGTTGGTGTATGTAATAAATTATGCTTTCTTTGAGCTTTGTAGCATTGCATGCATATTTAACTCATTCTATCGTTTTAATTTTTCAGATAGTAAAGTAGTTTTTAATCATTTTGTATGTTTAATTAAAATTGACATACAATTTCTTTTTTTTTAATTTTTCCAATTTAAAAAAAGAAAGAAAGAAAAGAATGAAATTAAGTAGAATAAAATTAATTAAACTACATAATTATTCTACTTTTAAAAAAAGGAATTATCTTAGAGCTTTTTCTGTAAATTTTGATACTTTTAACTTTAATTATATTAACAAGTACAGAAATTCTATTAAAAGTAATTAACATTTGTAAGAAATATTTAGGAAAAGTGGAAAATTCAAAGTTTGATATAAAAGTAATTTTCTAGCAAAAAAAAAAAAAAAAAAAAAAAAAAAAAAAAAAAGACATCATTTTTGTTTTATTTGTATGAATATTTACTTTTAAAGGTTTATTACAACTTTAATTGCTTATATTAGATTATTTATTTATTTATCTATTTTTTTTTTATTGCAGAATTTTAAATTTTATATATTTAGGATGCTAAACAAATGAACATAAGTGAAATGTTACATTTCAAATAAGATTTTATTCATTTAATTAAATAATAGTTGTTGTATTATGATTTTTCCCTATCAATTCTTATTTGCATGGAAGTAAATTTTTTATTGCATGAATTTTGTTTTAAATTTTCACTTATATGGGTGTTTATAACTTCAGTGTCGCTTAGTTACAATATCTTGTCTATTAAAATATATTTTAAATGCAGAAAATTATTTTATTCCAAGTTAATTAATTCACCAGACTTTAGTTAATATCTTCACTATATTACAATCGGTACACTTTCTGCTTTAATGTCCTTGAGAGGACAATAGTCAATCCTTATTTAATAATTCAGTACTGATTAAAATGTGGTGTAAGAAGGTATGAATTTCTCCTCATGATGTAAAAATAATTATAAAATTGTGATGACTGAAAAAAATGTTTTTAACTAAAAGAATAGACTTACCAGTGGAGTAAATGTGAGTCTCCTGCTTCTAGTACCCTCTTAGAAGTACTTGTGCATACACATACGTGAAAAATGATTGGTTCTCATGTCTTTTTCTAACAATGACAATTTGAATTTTCACTGTACTTAAGCCTGATCAATGTTACAGGTCATTAACTAGTGAAAATATAAGACATTACATAACTGATAGTGCAAAAAAAAACTTCTGTTTCTTCTATTTTGTATTGATTGGAGCTGATTATGTTAAAACACTGCATCCCACTTGAGGAACATGATATTCCTATAAGTATATTGCTGAAACTTTGAATAAGGAATAAAAATTCAAAATGATAAAATGTCTTCTGCATGTTAAAAAATGGTGGTTTATCGGTGTGCCTTAAGTATGTGGTATACGGATTATAGTTTTCGCAGTTTTCTGTTTCATTAAACCTTACATTATAAACATGCCATAAATAATGTATTTTAAATTTATTTATTTTATCTGTAGTTTTATTTTTTATTGAAAAATTTATGGGAAAAAAATGACACTGGATACTAAAACACCCATATATATTTAATGTGTTTGAGATATCTTACATTTTTTATTGTTTTTATTTCCATAAAGGTCGGAACCCATGACAGTATGACACATTTTGAAAACAAAACTAAGTCCAAGCAGTGGATACAACATACAGTCAAAAAAGAGGGAAAAATTCAGTGGGATGACAAGTTATAATAAACATCTATTTTATCTGCTGTAAATCTTAGTTGCATTTGTTCTGTAAATACTTAATTTTCTATTTCATTGTGATTGATGCAGCTTTGCAACCCTTCAGATGGACTGAAATCAATGCTGCTATGATTTAAGTTTAACACGAGATTTCTAATAAGTCATCCAGCTTTGCTATTTTTATTTTCGATTGAAGTCTTTTGTGTTATGTTTATGTGAAATAAAAAGTATACACTTGCATATTTTTTTTTCATTATCAATTAAAATATCTTCAAGAAACTATGCATGATTTGAGAGTGGGATATTTTCTCCTACTGATTAGTTAGAAATATTTCAATGTATTCTAAAGAAATATAATCTTATAAAAAAACTCTAGTTTCTCTTTACTATAATTTTCTCACAATTATTAAGTAAAAAATTACTATGATTTAAGTGAAGAATAATATTTCTCATCAATGGATATTGGCAGGTTATGAATTATTCAAGTTAAAGCCTTATAAAAATTAATCCACTTATATTTTCGTCATTTATATTTCTCTCTTTGATTAAATAAAAAAATTACTATGCATGATATTAATGAATAATGGTTGATTATAAATTGTCTATTATTCAAGATAAATTCTTATGAAAATTAGAATCTTATAAATATGAGTTGTTTATTTATAATTTAAAGCTCTCACTGATTAAATGAAAGAAATCACTATGCATGATTTGGATAAGAAATATTATTTATCATCAAAAAATATTAGCTTGTTACAAACATAATAAGTATTCATGTTGGATACTTATAAAAATAAGTCTAGATTATTTTTACTATTAAGATCATTATTAATTCAATAAAATAAAAAAATATGCATGATTTGGGAAAGATAATGATCCCTCTTTGATTCATTAAAAAATTATGTTTGGTATGGGGTATTATTTTTTTCCAATGATATTTGTTAAATGTTTACAAATAATTTATGTTGGAATATAATAATATATATTTTTAACCATTGAAAATACTTTTTTATGATATGTATTGATTGTTATCCACCCGTTTTTCCAGCATTTTACTGCACAAAATATAAGTATATATTAGTAATGCATAACTTGATATGAGTCATTTTATTAGTAGGTGGTAGAAAATTTAAAAGATTGTGGATTCAAAATATTTTTGCCCCACTTGTTGAAGTGTGTATTTTTGTAAATGTCAATGACGTTGCTGCTTCTAATATAACTTAAACCCTCAATTTATTCTCAATATTTGTATATAAAAAATTTTCCATCCATTCTAATTTGAATGTCTACTTTCTAACTTATGCTTTCTATATTAGCAAAAATAGATTGCACTATTATTCCTTTTCATGAAGATCCTTCAAAAGTATTTAGATTATATCTTTTTAAAATAAAATTTTTAAAAAAATGAACTAATTTTAAAAATTTATAGTTTATTTAGTAATTTTAGATGATAATGTAACTTTCAGTATAATTTTTTTTTTAATATCTCATTCCTGAATGATTTTAAATAGCCCCTTTATGCTCTAAAAATCAAAAGTCTTGATTGTAAAGTATAGACATTGAATTATTTAACTAATGTATCCTCTCACACGTTTAAAAAATGTTCCTTTTGAGGCTCATCTCTCCATGTTTGATTATGTAAATGGAATTCGTGTTCTATTTGTTATGAGCTTTTTATGTATATGTTGATATTAGTTAGAATTAAATAAAATTTATGATAAAAATTGAGATTTGTATTTTGTTAATAGTCTGAGTGTAACACCATTTTACACGTAATTTTTGTCTCCAATTATAAAATAATAGGTTTTTGTGCCTTTTATGTTAAAGTATGAGAAAAGATTAATTTATGTTTTTTATCAGAAATTAATTGAAGCTAGCTTCAAATTTGCACTACTTAAAATTATTACTAAAAAATAGTTTGCGATAATAAAAAATGCCTAAATTTTATTTATTGTATTTTCTTCAAAAATAATACTTTAAAAGGAAATATGACTATTTTCTAAGCATATGCTGCATGTTTGAAATAACTTCCTGTTTAACATTTAATGAGAAAAAATGAGTACTTCTTTTCTTTCTTGCCGTAACTTAAGAAATTCCCTTGGAGAGATTCAATGTATTAATATAATGTGAAAATTTTAATCCTTCCTTTGTAATGTAACTTAAAAATAACTTTTAACTTAGATCATCCATCATTAATTGATAAACAACTAATTGTATATTTTTCCTTATTTTACGAGCATAGAATATACTATTAGTTCAGAAAAAAAGCATCCATTTGAAATTAAATTCAAAACCCTTTTTATTTACTTATGTATTTACAAGCATAAAAGTTTAATCTGGCTTTTTCTTTGGAGTAAAATTTTCTAAATTGAATTTTAGATGTCCTGAGCTAACAGTGTTTCATGGCAGCTGAGCTGAATATCAATAATTTAAAACTTTGTCTGAATCGTGAAATGTGATTGCAAAACAAAAGAACAGGACAGGAAGGCAGATATAGTAAACAACAAGAATTTTATTGCGAGTGAAACTGAGAGAGAAGAAAATTATTAAAATCACCTCTAAGTTTCGACCTACAATTTAACCTCTTTTGATATTTATTTCATTTGCCTTTCTCATATAGATNTTTTCCTTTGGAGTAAAATTTTCTAAATTGAACTTGACTATAATTTTAGATGTCCTGAGCTAACAGTGTTTCATGGCAGCTGAGATGAATATCAATAATTTAAAACTTTGTCTGAGTCGTGAAATGTGATTGCAAAACAAAAGAACAGGACAGGAAGGCAGATATAGTAAACAACAAGAATTTTATTGCGAGTGAAACTGAGAGAGAAGAAAATTATTAAAATCACCTCTAAGTTTCGACCTACAATTTAACCTCTTTTGATATTTATTTCATTTGCCTTTCTCATATAGATAAATTTTGATATTTTTGTTCTTTACATGCTTAAATATTATTTTAAACAGTAGAAGTTTTTGTTCCCTGAAAACTTAACTGTAACTATAATTATTGGAGTAGACATAAGAGTTTTTTAGTTTTTAAACTCGTACAATCATATTAATTTTATAATTTCATAGATGAAACCTTTACCATGACATTATGTACAAAAATAATAATTATTGTGATAAATTGTAAGTTAAACACAGGATAAATTATTGTTATTGTGTACAACAAATCATGACAGCCAAAATCATATTAAAAAACCATTAAAAATTTTATTCTTTCTCTGGCAGAAAAAGAAGTGTGCAATCCTTGAGATTATTTTTTAGTTACAATATTCATTTCAAAAGAAGTTCTTAAAAGCTTCAGTTGTGAATCTGCAATAAGCAAAATTCTTATTCATTTTTTTTCAAAATCTCAATTCGATAAAGAACTAAACTATTGTAGATAATTTGTAATTATCAATTAAATACAAATAATCACACTTATCTGACCCATAAAATATTTGGTAGTTATTTGCATCAATATATTGTATATTAAAATGTATGTATCAACTTCAAAAAAAAAAGTGTGGCTTACATAAATTTATACTAGAGTATGAGACAGTAGGAAGTAAAAACTAGTAGTCATATTTTTAAATAATTCGTAACGCTGTAATTAAACAGTTGAATAATAATATAATTTATAGCACAATGAAACTAACATTACAGAACAAGGATTTAGTGCTTAAATATACATTTTCTGAAAAGTATTTTTTAATTTTAAAATATTTGTACATGAATTATTTATAACTTCACTTTTAATGTTTTTGTATTGATAACAAATGGATTACAAATTTATAATTCCCTTTGAAAAACGTGTGACGTGCACTAATTAAAAAAAAAAAACTAAAACTATAATATATCTTTAATTACGAAATATACAACAGGTTTTAAGAGACATAACACTTACTATACAAATAGGTACTCAGCTTTTAACTAGGAAGTTTGTACAAAAATTCTCCATCCTCATCATATACACAATTTTTCACTTTGTACAAAGTATTCTTTTTCCATGCAGAAATAGGAATAGAAACTTTTCCTTTAAATGTCTGACCAACAGGACGTTGGTAACCAGTTTTCTCGTTATATAAATAAAAAGAATCCTCTGCACTGTTTTTTTCTCTTTTCATTTCAATGTTTTCTTTGCTATATTTAGATATTTTTGATACAAAATCTTTAGCATTAAAAAAATTAGTGGGGTTTTTAAAATCTTTTTCTTTTGACTCTTGTTCAATCCATTGGAGATACTGCTTAGATGTATTCGATTTTTTACTGTCGTGTTTAAGTTGATGCTTTATATTTTCTTTAAACTGACTAAACGGAAGCTCAGCTTCATCAATGTAATCTTTCTTTTTTATTGCAATATCTCCATCCTCTTTAAAAAATTTAGATTTTTTAAGAAAGTTTGAAGCTTCAGTAATATGTTTAACAGTCTCAGACCTTCTATCATATTCTTTTTCTGTGGGTACAATCAGTTCTGAATTATTTTCTTGAACAGATTTTTTCTGCTTTTTATATTCCACATAATTTTTAATGATTCCTGAGTATTCTCCAATGAGTTTATTTTTAGTTACTTTTGTAATGTTTTGAGTAGTTGAGAGAGAAGGATAAGGTAGATTAGGATTGCCAGTGTAGTTTTCCTTTAGTAATTTACCTTCATTCCACAAACACTGAGTATGAAAGTATATTTGGTCAGATGGTTTACCAGACATCAAGGATTCCCACTTTTTTCTCACATCTTCATCATGTTGTTTAATTTTGACCGGATCTTTCAGGGTATAATTACTTCTCAATAATTTCTGTAAAAAAAAATTTAAAAAATCTTATTATTTTTAAATGAAGTCACTAACAATCAGAAATTTGAAAAGTATATATTTTAAGTTCAGATCTTATGTTACAAAATCCTTTCAATTATAGATTTATAATCATATATCTGAGTATTGGTAACAATTGGTGGTTTTAAAGGTATCGTGTTTAAAATTTAGATCTTATATTACAAAAGACTATCAATTTCAGATTTCTTTTAATTATAAATCTGAGAATAAGTAGCAAGACAAAATTTCATTTTTATATATCAAATAAAAAAAATGATTTTTGAGAAAATTAATAAAAAGCAATTATTTTTATTTTCCTTAATATATTAATAAATTGATTGGACATCGTGGTTTAAAACGGCATAGCCTGCTAACATCACATTTACTTAGGCACCGAATGGAAAACATAAAAGAGGAAGGCACCAAAATCTGTGCAAAGGTTAACTAAATGAATGGAAGAAAGCATGAGGATAGAGTCAGAACAGGGGTGCCTAAAAAAAGAGACTTAAGGCTTTATGTGCCATCTGTCTTGAAGAGGATAGGTAGGTAAGTAAAATATAAAACATTTTATATGAGAAAACGAAATTATACTAATTTATCCATATTAGATTAGAGGATCATTAACATGGCGAGACTCCTATTTAATGAGATAATTTATATACAAGGCCTAGTACACTATGTTTATCAACTAATAGATTGAATCCCTTGGAAAAATCTAGCCATTAATGAAACATAAAATAAATTGCTAGAAGTTAAGTTATGATGTAAAAAAAAATAATTTAATTTGTTATTGTTCTCAATGGACGAAAAATGAACTCATTCAAATAGTTTTATAAACTTCATTATGCATAATTGGCAGTAAATGAAATTTAATCTTAATCAGTTCACACATAATATAGTAAAATATTTTCAATCAATTTGGAATTTAGAACTCGCCAAATCTAATTCTTAAGTTTTTTTCTAAACCAATGATTCTAGTGCAGAGCTACTATCTTTTTTATACCACTAATAAAACCAAATTTATCAGAAACAATGAGTTAAGCATGCTAAAATAAATAGCTTTGACATTAAATTACAAATACACTATATGTGCAATTCGAACAGAAGCATTAACTGAAGAAACAAGATAACATTTAATCTTTGAGTTGCTCATATAAATGAAACATTTATCCAGTCACTTGATAGATGATTCTGTGTTTTCATCATAGAAAAAAAATGGGTGAGAATTTCTCACCCTTTCTCAAAAACAGGGTGAGATTTCAGAAAGTTAAGTGAGATTTCTAAAAACTGAAAAAATACAAATAGACTTGAAAAAAAAATTTTTTTCATTATAATACATTTTTAACGTCTTCTATTTTTTAAAGCATTGAATATTCTTGCTGCATCATCATAGAAAATTTTGCCTTTACTAGGTATTTGTCCATCTTAATATCCAACATTAGTGCATAAAAAATTTGAACGTCTTACATGAAAAAACCTTACCTGCGGTAAACACGTGGTTGCAGAGAAATGTGTTCTGAAAGGGGTTCCGTGGCTCGGAGGGGGTGTGTTCTGTTGTTCGAAAAAGTTCTGAACAATACTGGTAAATAGGGAATCTAGATAACGGGGCAAATGTTGAAAATAACGAAAGATCCAGGAAGAAAAGTGAAATGGATTTTATTCTAATTGGCGTAATTCGAAGCTTTTTCCAAAATGCGAGAAATTCGCGAATTTTGAAATTGATTTATAGAATGCGCGAATTTGAAGACTAAAAGCTTCTATTCGGTATCATATGACTAATTTGAATATTATATTCATTTTTCTGTAGCTACATCTAGGATTATGTATTTTTATCAAACTTTTTCATATTCTTTTTTATAGAAAAAATATGTTTTAAATAAATATCCTAGTAGATAGTTATTGTAGATTATTTAATTATTTCTATATCTTTAAAAATATTCTAAAAACAATTTACGGTGTCAAATTTCGTTATTAGGATATCCTCCCCATAAATGGACAATATTTTCGGTCCCCAGAGTGTCTGCTTAACCGAGATTTCACTGTATATATATATATATATATGTATATATATATATTCAGTGTGTTTCAAGACTCTTGAGCAAAAATTTAAGAGATGATAAAAAACGTCTAAACAAATAATTTTCGCCATACAATGGACCAAGCAGTGAACAACTAGGAGGTATCCATTACTGTTACATGAAAGAATGAAATGCCAAATGGATAGAGGGAGTTCTAACTTAACTTGATGTATATTAAATAACATGTGTCGCTCGCTACATTGCAGATGCAACTCTTTACTATAATTTTCTCACAATTATTAAGTAAAAAATTACTATTATTTAAGTGAAGGATAATATTTTTCATTACCACTCTGCATTCTTTTTTCTGTAATTTGAGTTTTTTCTGTAATTTTGCTCCACATGCTGTCAATAAAATTAATTTAAAACCTTCTCTGTCCATTTGGTGCTTGATTCTTTCATTTGCCAGCGACAGATACCCAATAGTACAGCTTGCTCACCACCCATGCATTGAACAATTAATTACTCGTTTAGATGTATTCTATTACCCCATGAATTTTTGTTTATGAGTTTTGAAATACCCGGGGCACAATACAAAACCTTAGTTCTTCTTATGAGCTTTTTTAAATTCTTATCGTAAAGGTTTTGCAGAAGGAAAAGACTATACTAAGCACTTGGTCCAGTCTAGAAATATGGTTGCGAAAATTCTGATACATCAAATTTCTACAAAAGTACTTGATAACAAAGTAAATCAACTCCATAAAGCCATTGAAGTAAAATCCCAGTTTCAACCCTTACAGTTTACATGAATTTAATCAGTTGCTTACATAAATTAAATTAACTTTTCATTTATTGCAAACGGAGATGGTACTTGATGAAAAGTTCTTGGTCCTCAAAAACTTTGTATACCCATAGATACCATATACCATGGATCACATATCACCTGCATGCATTTATACAAAATAAATCACATACTCACTTTAACACCATCTACGCTAATAGGAAAACTCTTGGACAATGCCTCTGGTGTCCAATCTAAAGGATTTAGTTTGTGTAGATATTTTATTTGTTCCTTGGCAGCATAGGTCAGCAAATTAGTTTCCTTCTCACTTTGGAAATACTTTCTCCCTATCAACTTCTTTTTAATAAAAATTTTTCCACTTTCCTTTTCCCTATGAAAAATAAATACATGCAGTTTATTATAATAATATATCAAGAGTTACATTATAATAATGAGTTAAATATTAGGAATTAAGTTATTGAAAAGATAAAATTTGTTTTGTCTCGAAATTAAAATCAAAAACATTTACTCTCATTTTGATAGTTTAACATTGTGCTACACATTTTTTTTCACAGAAAAAAAAAACTAATTTATCGAGTTAAAATTTGGAAATTGAGACAAAAAAGAACTATAAGGAAATAAAAAATTTGAAAATTAATGATTAGTTTATGATATTTATTGTGCCGCATTCATGTACATAAAATTTGTAAGAAACATTTTTACTCTTTACTAAAATTGAAAATAAACTATCCTTTAAAAAAAAAATTATGATAATAAACTAATATTATATGAAAAATTAGAGGTAGAAAACAGTAATGAGATACAAATGGAGAACGCAAATACAAATTCTCTTTTGCTAAATTTGAAAATTGATAAAATTTTTAAATAATGTAGAACTAATTATAATTTTATATTAATCACAAATACATAAATGAAGCGCAAAACTCTTGGAAGATATTTATTTTGTTGATAATATATTTTTGAATTAGTATATGATATGCTTTTTGGGGAAAAATACTGGACATTTTACAGTGCGTCAAATGAGTCTTTTCTACTAATTTTTGGGTTTTTAATAAAATTCTACAATTTCTCCCTGTCCTGTAATCATTTTGCTAGATAGCCAGATTTATGAGAAGCATCATCTAAGGTATTAGAACAAATATGAATTCATTTAAATAAATTTTGTTTTGAGAAATCATTGACTTAATTTATAATATATTTTAGCCTAACATGGTTTTAATTTCTTTTCAGATACAAAATTTAATAATCATAATTTTTTTCTTTTCAAAACATACTGCTCCTTTAATCAGCTTCTACCTTTTACTTTATAATTTTCAGAGCAACATTGAACTTTGATGTTGCAAATATGTTATTGGACTTAAAATTTACAAATGCAAAAGGAAACCATTTTAATATGCTATTTAGAAACGTATGTAATAATAATAAGCATCTTTTCAAATAGTGTGATGAGTTTTTTTCTTTTTTTAATAAATGTGTTAATCTATATTAAAAAAATATAATGTTTGTAAAACTGCAAGCATTATGTCCAAAAGTCTATTTAACTAGTGATTCCTTAACTTTAGCCATTTTCAGATAATGATATTTCTACTCATGTTATATTTATACTCATTTGAATCAAAAAGCATAACTTAAAAAGAGTAATTCATGCAAAAATATGGTTTCAAATTATATTATGATTGATCATTTTCAAAATACAAATTTAATTAAATATACAAAACTGAATCAGTAATACACTAAATTAACAACAACAACTAAATTAATTATGAGTTATTAATTAAATTAATTCATCAGCAATAAACTACGTAAATTAATTATTAGTAATAAACTCAACTGTCTTTTTTTTTAAACATTTAAAAAGAAAGGAGAGAAAAAACTTACCCAAAAGTAAACATTATATGATAGCATTTGAATAATATCTCATTGAAAACTTTCACTTAGGTATGTAATACCAGGCCATATTCAATAAATTCATAAACCATGACTAATAAATACAAACTTCTGAAAGAATAAGCTTATTCCAGTTTTGTTAAAAAAAAACTATATTTAATGTTGATAAGTATTTACCTAATCTGTCTATCGTATAATCTGCTGCTCTCGGTAACTATTGATTGAAAATCTTCTCCTTTTTCAAAAGCTTCTGCAATGTCTAAGTCTTCTTTCTTAACTCGTCTAGACATTTCTTCCAAATCAAACGATGCATGATCCTCATCCTCTTCGTTCATATGTTTGACTTTAAATTCTTTTATCGTTTTAATTACCGACACTCTTTTAGAAGGGTTTCTCAGAGCTCGATAAAACGTTGCAGAATAATTTGATGCTGTAAATGACGAAGTACATATGCGAAGAATGTTAAACATTGTTTGACTAATGAAACTATACAGTATCGCATAGAAATCACAATGTTTTGTTACCTTTTCAATGACATACAGAAGTTACGACTACTGATTTTTGCTACTTTTGACTTTTACTGTTTACCCTGAGAGGTAGTGTATAGCGTGAGGATGCCTGTGAATCCTCAGGAAACAGGATGATCCCTCAAGGCATGTTTTCGAGCATGCGCAGTATACTAATCATAATGAGTAACGCCTCTTCCCTGTCCTTCCTAGTCAGATGACTACGCGATAGAAAATGGCGAGAAATGGCATTTCAAAAATGTGACTACTTCAAATTTATCCAAAACTAATCAAGGATTACATAAAGGGTATGTGACTATACTTTATTCAAAATATTTATTATCTGCCTTTTCACTAGAAATTTATACCTCCTTAAGAGTTGAATGATCATTTCTTTAAAATATTTGACTAACGAAAATCTTTATTTGATGTCAAAATGTGCAATGACTGGTGGATTACCAGAGGAAACCCGAATAGAGAATGATTTTTAAATTTAAATATGTTTATGCAATCCTTTGTAATAGTATTTAACGAGCATTTAATAATATATAGAGAAAAGGCAGCAATAAATATATAGAATAAAATATATTTACTACTCATAATACTGTGTTCCCTTTTGTTCACTCATTGACTCAATAGAATATTCATAAGATTGCCATAAATGACATAAGAAAAATAAATAAAAAAACATTTCATCAAAGCAATATATTATTTAAGCAATAATGAACTTCTACTCACTGTTATAAAAAAATACTTTATTTTCTTATAAAAAACATTAAATTTTCAGAGTTTATTTCTTATTCCCAAAAATTCGTTTGAAATTAAATATTTATATATAAAAATATAGGGTTTTTTTTT